CGCCGCCGCCGGGTGCGGCGGGGCTTCCGCAGCCGCCTCGCGCGCCGCCGCGAGCGCCGTCCTGCGCGACGGGTCAACCAGCGCCTGCGCGTGCAAGTGCTGCTGGTGCTTCGGGGCAGCGCCCGAGCGGCGGCCCGGGCGCGCCCGCGCCGGGCGCTGCGGGCGACAGCGCTGCGAGGCATGAGCTGGCGCGCGCATGCAGTGCCGTGCGAGCCGCGCAATTGTCGCCCGCGCTAATGGGCGGCCCGCGCAGTTCCATTGCGCGCGGCGATCGCGGGGCCCCGGCGCCGGCGGCCATCCAGGAAAATTTGGCCCGCGCGCGCGCGGTGGCAGTTGCTGGTTCAGCGCCGCGCTCCTTCGGTTCCTGGAGGGCTGCGGTCCGGGCGTGGATGGCTTTCGCGCGGCGCCGACTCAACGGGGGCGGCTGCAGTGCGCTGCCGCCGTCGGCCGACGAAGTGCGTTCGTTCGCGCTCGAGTTTCGCAGCCCGCGCACTTTCGGCAATTACGTGGCACAGCTAAAGAAGGCTTGCCAGCTGCTGGGCCGGGGCGCGTCTGTCTTCACTCATCCCCTGGCCAGGGGGGCCCGTGAGGCCATCGGGAAGCGGCGCCCTATGAGGCGGCCGCCGAAGCCTTTCGTGCTGCTGTCACATTTACCGGCGATGCTCGACTTCGCGCGCACCGACAGTGCCCTGCGCGCGCTTTTCTTGGTGTCCTGGGGATTCGCCTTGCGAGTGCCATCCGAGGCCCTCTTGGTCGAGCGAGGCGACCCGCTGGCGTTTAAGGATTTTGCCATCTCTGACCAGGACCTGCGCAGGCCAAGGGCAAGAGTCGTTATCTTCTTTTCGGGCGACTCGGCGACGATGCATTTCTCACGGCGTAAGCACGGCGACGGTCCGACAGTCGCGGTGCGGAAGTGCTGGTGCGCACGCTCGCCAGCGACGTGCATTGTGCACGCGGCGCGTACCTTTTTCGATTGCATTTGTGTCGGCTCGCCCGCGTTCCCGCGTCTGCGGCGAGTCGACAGCAACGGTATCGTCTTAATCGCCGCGCCTGTGCAGCGCGCGATGAAGGCGGCGGCTGCGCACGCCGGGGCGCCAAGCGCGGCGTCCTTTACGAGCGGAGCTTTCGGCCGTGGGCACGCGGAGACGAAGCGCAGGTGCAACGGCCGCCTTTGCGAAATTCTCCGCGGCGCCGATTGGATTTCCCGCGCTTTTAACGAATATTTCGATATGCACCAGCACGAGGGCGACGCGACCGCAGAGGCGGTGGCCGCCGCTTCGCGCCCTAGCCCCTGCGCGGGGCGCAGGCCAGAGTCTGCCGCGGTGCCTGCGGAGAAGTTGTCCCTTCGCACACTCGGTGCGCGCTGCGACCTGCGCCCGCGGTTCCATTGGGTCGCGGCAGGCCTGGCGCGCCCCGACCATGGCGGGCCTGGGCGCCGGCAGCGTTGGGTTCAACGCCCGGGCTGGCCTGGTCGGGGACAGCGCGCGTCGCCGCGCCCCCCCCACGTGGGGTGCCAGCGGGGCGGCAGCCCTGGCTCGGTCGCCGCGCCCCTCGTTGGGGCGTTGCGCCCGAGGTCGGGCACTCGTGGTTGGTCCGCCGTGATTTATGGGGAGCGCACGCCCGCAGGGTGCGTCGCGGGCGCAAATCGAAGGTCGGCCGACGGGCCCCGCGGCGCCGCGGCGCGTGCGACGCGCGACGAATGCTGCCCGGCCGCAGGGCGCGCCGCCCGCGCTCGGGGGTTGTTGCTTCTGTGTTGGCTTGCGCGGGCGCGCCGCGGGGGCTCGCGCAGGCGCGCCGCGGGGATCGCGCCGGGGCGGGTCGCGGCGCGCCCTGGCGCCGTCTGCTTCGCAGGTATTGATTTGATTGTTTCGCGCCGCGCGCGCGGGGCGCGCGCCCGCGGCGCGGGCCCGTCGGCCGTTCTGCCCCACCCGCCCGCTCCTGGGTGCGGGGCTGCTTCGGTCGGCGGCGGACCGTTTCCGCCTCGCCCGCCCGCACTTGGGGTTCAACGCCCAGGCTGGCCTGGTCGGGGACAGCGCGCGTCACCGCGCCCCCCCCCGCGTGGGGTGCCAGCGGGGCGGCAGCCCTGGCTCGGTCGCCGCACCCCTCGTTGGGGCGTTGCGCCCGAGGTCGGGCACTCGAGGTTGGTCCGCCGTGATTTGTGGAGGAGGAGGGAATGAGGAGAGAAGGAGGGCGCAGGATGAGGAGGCATGGCGCGGAGGAGGCAGGAGGCGGAGGAGCGCAGGGGGGGCGCCAGCGTGGGGGGGGAGGAAGTCCGAGGCTCGAGAGTCGAGGCTCGGTGCTCGCTTGCGGGGCGCTCTTGGTCGTCCCATGGCACCTTCGCGGCCACGGCTGGATCGGCCTCGATGTTCTGGTCAGGACCTTCCCCGCGAGATGTCCAGGGGTCGGGTTTTGACCCCTGATCAAGGGCAGCGACAGGGGTAGGAGGCCACATGCGAAGCCTGCCCCGCCACCCCACGATTTCTACGGGGGGAGGTGAGGCAGGTTGCGCATGTGGCCTCCTAAAGGAGTGCACCGACCGACCCCAATCGCCATTCTTCGCCGCTGGGGCCCTGGGCCCAGGGGCGGAAACACCGCCCCCCGGTCGTCCGTTCCGTGCGGGTCGGGGCCCGGGTGTGCCCCACCTTGGGCCGCCCAGGAGCGTGCTGCCGCGCCGGCGGGAGCCCATCCGCCGAGCCGCGTCGATGCATCGCGGATTCAAGCCAGGCGTTTCCGCCCCCTGAGCTTGCCACCCCCAAACGCTGGTCGTTGAAAGAAGGTCTTGTGATGGACTTGTTTTCCACCACCACCACCATAAGCTGGAACGGGAGGGGATTCTGCTCCTTTTCTTCTTCCTCCTCCTCCTCCTCCTCATCCTCCACCTCCTTCCCCCTCCAACTTATGGTGGTGGTGGTGGACAGCAGGCCCATCAATTGCTGGATTCCCATCTATCCCAATCTACTTCAGGCGCCTTCCTACTTCAAACATCGATCCGCTTTTGCTGTGGCTCGTTATTCTCTGGGAGTGCCCGAGCCCAATCTGCTTCATCCGCATGCCTACGTCATGTGTTGACGTATACCTCTTCCGAACGGCGTGCAGGTGTTTCTTCCTTCTGAGCTGGCCCCCCCAATGTTCCGGATCACCCAAATGGGCGTCCAGCTGCAAGGGGGTGGTGCAATAGATCTGGGGCACTTGTATTGCAAATGCACTGCGCCGGAGAATTGTATTGCATTGTATTGCAACCAATGTAGTGCACGCGAAACTCGAGCAACACATTTGC